CTCATGGAACTCCAATTTTTATTCAAGCAATAATCCATAATGCATTGCTAATCAACTAAATATACACCAAATTAAAATTATCCCTTAAAGATGTGCATTCAAATCTAAGTTCTTAATAAAATAGTACAATAATAACAATAACACCCACTAATCCCACTACGTGGATTCGACTACAAGAATTTTTTCTATATTATAAACTGTTAAGAGTCATGTTCTAATTTAAATCTAATTAAAATATCATTTTTAATACTCTCTAACAAAGTTATTTTAGTTCTATATCTACATTTCTTAACGTAATTAAGCAAGATCTATCACATCTACTCTCCTAATAGGGTCGAAGTTTTATGTGGTAATTGAGCCTAAAATCCTCCTACCTTACTCATTAAGACCACGTACCATCAACTTATAAGAGCTGAGCTTATGAGTGCCTACTTTTAAGTATGTAGGAGTTATGAGAGTCATTATATTGAATGATGCATTCATATCAACATTGACATTAGGAAGTCTGAAGTTTTCAACATTTATGGAGATGAAAAGTGGATGATTATTATCAGTGGTTTTTAAGAGTAAACCCTCATCAAAGAATGCTACTCACAAGAAACTCCTTGAAATAAAGAGGCTCATCAAGAGATATTGCTATTAGTTGAGCTATACAAAATCTAGATCAAGTAAAACCTTAATTAAGGTATCCCTCATCTCCTTAGACATCACAAATTCATCATAGATACTCAATTTCACATGCAACTTATTAAGATAGTCTAAGATGTTATAATCAATCTTGGAAATTCAACTTGTATCCACATCTCGAGGAATTATAGGCTATATATGAGGAAATATTTTGGATTATCAATAATTTATTCCCTTTGTCGATGACAGCTAATCAAGGCAATATGACCTTGCCTCTATGAAGATTAACTTATGTGACTTCTTCAAATGAAGAAGGAAGATTGATATTTACTTAGGATTTAGTAATGCTCAAGGTACCTTTTGCTAAACTATGAAAATTTGAGAGGTTAACCACAATATTGATAGGTGTACCCTAAAAATTAAATGCAGTGGCATTACTATTCAAAAATGTATCCTAAATATTCTTTATTTTCATTAGAGTTAACATTTTTAGATTAAGAGATTACTATTAGTTTCATTCAAGTCATCCATAATATTCTCACTGAAAATAAACAAGACATAAATAATCATTTTGCATTGATCCTTTATTCCCAGGTGGGACAAAGTAGAAATTATATAATGTAAGTGACATGAGGGTTTACCTCCCCATCTTAGGTAAGCACATCTTTTTATTTTACAAATCTCTTTAGTCACAGGAGGACTGACTTAGGTCTCCTTAAGCTCCTAGAGCAAAGTCATCTCTAATTTCTCCATCATAACTTCTAGATTAACCTGGATGGGTTTTAGGGCTCTTTGAGACACCTATAAAGAATGATAGACTTAGTTAAGAGGTTTCTTTGATTGAAGAGATAAGACTACATTCCACTCATCATTGAAATTAGATGGAAACTTAGGAAAAAATACTCATTAGATACACATTTGGTGTATTCATGGATTTAATCTTTCAAATACTCTTTGGGAATCACCATCGTTCCTAACTTGATGCTCTTTTTTATCCACCCCTTAAAAGTAAGGCAATCTTCAAGTTCTTAACCCAACTTAGGTTGGAAAGGACAATAGCGTGGTTAATCTGATTTGCCCACTTCCTCTAACTTTTCAGGCTCAATAGGAATGAAATCTAGCTTCTTTAGGAGGATATTCAAGATTTTTCTTATTGCTTCTTTTTTGATAAAAAGGTTGAATTAATATTTTAATGAATTATTGTCAGCCCACATGCCTTTGTGTATGCCACTTTAATTTTGATGATAAGAAACACATGTTTGGTGTGACTAATATTTCAAATTTAGTGTTTTAGGTCGTTACAAATGATAAGCCAAACCAATGAGGAAGCTTCTTAAAGCATGGGTGGATAATGAGTTTGTGGAAATTTTTATTATAAACACTTAACAATGATTTAATCATAATAAATGTGCTCGCTAATTAAATAATTTCTTGCATTTTTCATTTCACATCATCATGAATTAGATAACTATTTTTTTATCTAGGTTTATTTAGGGTATGTTTGCTAACTAGTTTAATTTGTGCTTATCATTCTTTTTTTTTGGCATGTCTCATGACTTCATGTGATTTTAATTTTTTGAACATTATCATTTCACAATATTTATTTTTGGGATTTAATATTTTCATAATTTCAAAAACTTTCCTATAATAACTCACATACAAAATTTATGTTATGTGCCTCGTTCTTTTTTTTTTTTTGAAGACTTGCATCAATTGCATTAATAGAACAAAGACAAGATAATTACACTTGAAAGAATGGAAGGCATCACATTCCTCCTTGATAGAAAATAAAAGCAAGGAAGGAATGTTTCCAAAAGTAAAACTATCAAAGAAAAAGCTCCTACTACTAGCCATGGTAGCACATAAGTTGGCCACCTTATTACAATTCCTATGAACATGATTAAAGACCACTTTATGAAAATCATTGACAAAGAGAATCTCCTCCAAAGGCCATCTGTCAACGATCTGCTTATTCTTCTTGAATGAATCCTGAATGAATCTAATAACATTGAGGTTGTCACTCTCAATAATCACCTCTTTGTACTCAAGCATCTAACTCCTAATATAATCTTTAACCGAGAAAACAGCCTCCATCTCGAGTTTGGTAATGTACCAATGAAACTTCTTCTCCCCAAAAGCAAGTATAAACCTTCCCTTATGGTCTCTAAAAATTCCCCCCACTCCATCACAGTTAGATCTAAGCAGTGATGCATCAACATTTATCTTCATCCAATCTTTCGGAGGAGGGCACCAAGACTCACAAGACTCCCTAAGGAGATTGGTTCCCC